GCAGCGCCACGCCGTGCCACGCCTGACAGTCCGAACGTGTTCATTACACAGTCGGCACAACAGAGTGTGTACAAGAAAAAGGATCCTCCGTGTTCTATCCGTGTAGTTTATCCTGCAAACGTAACTTGAGATTCGCCAGTCGTTAGTTGTTTTCACTAGCTGTTAAACGGTAATACGCTGCTGCAGTTTGATGTATGAATTGTACTAAAAGGCTTCATAAGGGTCTAGCCGCTTTGAAATCATTTTTTTAAATGTATCTTGAATGGTGGGTAAAAAAAATTGGGAGAGGGCAAGGCAACTCGATTTTTGTATGTGGATTCTGCACGTGTGTTGTGAGGCTCGCGGACTCCATCACGGTGCGCTTAAATCCCCAACAACTTACCTCTCCCATCGAAACGTTTTTCACCCGGACCTGATTTCTGACGCGTGTTCGAGGGGGCAGAGTACTCTAATTCTCCTTCTTCTTTCGTTTTTGTTTCGAACATCAGACTAATGATAACTTAGTAAAGCAACAAAACAGACCCGTGTAGTCCGGTCCCGGCCGCATGGCCCAACACAACCTGTTTGCTGTGCTGCTCTGCGTCCCGGGCCTCTGCCCTAGGCCCACTCCGCACGATGAGGCGCACGCCGAGGCGCACGCCGACATAAGTGCAAAAAAGTACAAAGCAAAGCAAAGCAAAGGGTTCTATCAACCGAGGGCGCACTAAAGGCAGTTTCTTAAGACAGGTGTTTCAAAAATCGAAAATTTGCGCATTTCAAAAACGTCCAAAAGAGGGCCTTTCAATTCTTCCTCTAATAATTTGTGCTTTAGCGGCTATAGCAGTATATTTTTTCCCCGTACCCCCTCTCTTGCGGAACTTTACTACTCCGTTCTCTCTTTGGCTAAGGGTGAATAACGTCGCGTAGCTGAACCTGGGCGAATTTATTTCACACAGACGAACAGTAAAACCTGCTTTTCTCAGTTTATGAAAACGTCAAAACATTGGCAACTAAATTTCCCAGAGACTTTACGATAGTCTGCACTGTCACTCTAAGCTACACCAGCGTCTCCCTAGTCCGGCGACACCCTACGCCTGCCGCGCTGCCGCGCCTGCTGCACCTTGCACCTCCCGTACGTGTGCAGTCGGTGGTCAGGACAGGAAGCGGTCTCGGGCGCGAGCGAGACGAGGCGAGGCGAGGCGAGGCGGAGGCGTCCTGCAGCAGCAGCAGCAGCAGCAGCAGCAGCAGCAGCAGCAGCAGCAGCAGCAGCAGCAGCAGCAGCCGGGCGACGTCAGACCGCCCGATCCGATGCCGCCGCCCCCCGGGGGCATTTCGCGGGAATCTTTGAAACTAATCACTCGGAGGGGCGGCTGCCTCCGCGGCGTCGCCTCAAAGTCTCCGTCTTGCCGCCGCTCGGGCCGGGGCGCCCGCACGTGGCCACGGCACCCGCGGCTCGGACGCGCGCAGAGCGGCGGCAGCTCGGCGTCACCGCCGACCAATCGCGAGGCCAGGAATGCCGTCACGTCCGGCCAATTAGAGCACGGCGGCCATCTCCGCGAGGACCTCCTGATCCCTCTCACTCAATCCCTCTCTCCATCAGTCCCTCTCTTTCCTCTCTCCCTGGTCAAGCCATCTCGCCACCTCTCCCGCAATCCCTCTTTCCCCATCTCCCTTCAGCAATCCCGCCCCCCCCTCTCCCTCTCAATCTCCCTCCCCTCAACCCTTCCCCATTCCTCCTCGCCTCCTCCCTCTTCCTCTCGCTCTCGCCTTTCCCCCCGCCCATTTCTCTCGCTCTTCTTTCCATCGTACACGTACATTCAATCGTCACTTTCTCGAACGCATCCGAATTTCCGTCGAAACTCGGAAAAATACTTGCAATAACGCTTTGGGCGTGTTTTTCGTATATCGGTCCTACCGTCTGTTCGGAGTGGCGGCCGTCGCTCTGTTTGGCACGTGCCGCCGCGTCGCGCCGCCGGAGCAGGTTTGGGTAAGGGTTATCACCGCCGCGCTCGGCTTGTCTGCCGCTGTCAACCTGTGCCCCAGTCCATTCAACCTTCTTGCCCCGCTTTGCTCGCGGTCGTCCATTCATGCATGCATGAGGGTAAGGTCTGTGGACGGCCAGATGAGGTAGGAAGGAACGGGAGGAGTAGGAGGAGGACGACGACGACGAGGAGGAGGAGGGAAGGAGAAAGAAGGAGGAAAATTAAGAGGAAGGGAATCGCAGGGAAATACGGAGAACCGAAAAAACTTCCACTTCTACACACCCGTGTGTGGTTCCCCGCCGCCCCCTTCCCCCCACTTTTTTCCTCTTGGCTGCCGGGGCCGCGTGGAGAGCTGGCAATAAGAAAACGTGATATTATCTATCTATTATGAACGACCTGGTGATCGGGCGGGCGTGCGCGCGCGTGTCAGAGAGAGAGAGAGAGAATATGAGATGGTGTTTTGATCAAATGTAATGAACATCATATGGGCTGCTGGCTGTTTGTAGACGTAATGGAAATAAAACTTTCCGGTGTAACTTCTTGACCGCCCCCAACCTAGCGGCCTTGGTGCCGGCCGCCACAATGCCCCGCGAGAGCCCGCCCGGACCAGCAGGGTCCCCGACATGGCGCTCGGCAGGGCGGCGTGGACCCGCGACGCTGAGGGACCGACAGGATCACACGCTCGCTCGACGATATGGCCGTTTGCTTTTATGTCTCCGTTCCGACGCGCCCGACAAAGACATCAAACTTGTTTTTATTACTTTTTTCTCACTCTGGTCCGGCAGGCCAGTTCTCCGGACCGGTGCCCGACCGTCAGATCGTCTTCCCCAGGAAGGTGCTGGCGCACCCCAGCGCTGACGACGACGACGGTGACCTGGAGCACCACCACGACCAACACCACCACCACCGCCGCGTCCGGAGGCTCGCCTCGGGGGACTGGGGGCTGCCACCGAGAGAGCCAGGTACGTCACGATCCAGTTATCGTTTCCAGATGAGTGAAAGCTTTGCTTGTCGTGTTTCGAATTGTCACGTTCATCGCCGTGCCCCCAGCCGGGGCTGCGCCGGTGCTGCAGTACGAGGTGGTGCTGCCCGCGCTGGACCCGGCCACCCCGAGCCTACTCCGGCTGCTGCCGTACACGGACCACCTGGGACCCATGCTGCGCGTCGACAGAAGCAGGAGGCGGCGGAGGACGCCGTCGGCGAGGCCCCGCCGCAGCGTCACGTCCTGCCACTACCGCGGTGTCGTCGAGGGCGACCCGGGCTCCAGCGTAGCACTGTCGGCCTGCGGCCAGGGACTGGTACGGGTTGCGAAAGCTTCGAATATTTTCATTGTTTTTGTCTTTTGGCAAAAATAATATCACACCAATTGACTCAGTGTAAATGTTCAAAACTTCGTTAGTATTAATAAAGCGGTTCTGTGTCTGCTCTTTCAGGTCGGCCTAATAAAGACCTCCAAGGCGGAGTACTGGCTGGAGCCGGCTGCGGCGGGCGTCGGGGCCTCCAGCGGGCACCCCAAGAGGGCGCACGTGTTGTTTCGGGGGCACAAGGGGTGGCAGCGCGGCCAGCGCGGATGGCGGCGAAGGGGGAGGGGTAAGAAGTGGGGGAGGAGGAAGGGGAAGAAGAGGAGGAGAAAGAGGCGGCACGACAAAACCTGCGGCACGCGAGGTACACATATGTATTTTCACTTAACGCGCTTAAATATTGCCACCTCCTGGCATTTTGTCATTTTTGAGGACCAAATTGACGCCAACAGACCCCGCCCGCTCCAACGAGACGGTCCTGGCGTGGGGGCGCGGCGGCGCGACGGACCGGCTCGCCGTGCAGGAGAAGACCGGCTCCGGCAGGTTGCCCCGCTCGGTCAGCACCGAGAAGCACGTCGAGGTCCTGCTGGTGGCCGACCAGTCCATGACGGCCTTCCACGAGGACGGCGACATCGAGACGTACCTCCTCACCATCATGAATATGGTAGGTGCCTGCTGCGATACGGCCCTCCCGACGACCCAGTCTGACGCAGTCTCTCGACGGGCGCCCGTGGATCTGAGGGTAGGCCACCCCGCCGTACAGTCGTGTTCGACGGGACGGCCAACCCGCCAGGGCGCCTGTGGATCTGAGGATAGGCCGCCCCGCCGTACAGCTCTGCTCAACGGGACGGCCCACCCGCCGGGGCGCCTGTGGAGCTGAGGATAGGCCACCCGCCGTACAGGTGTGCCTAACGGGTGGGACAGCTCACCCGCTAGGGCGCCTGTAGATCCGGGGATAGGCCACCCCGCTGTACAGCCGTGTTCGACGGGACGGCCCAGCCCACAGGCGCTCCTCATGTGGGAGGTACGTCGAGTCGGGACCTACCTCCACGTCTACAGCCTCCACCAAATTTCAGGCGTGCTGTAGTGTGCCGCTAAACTGTTCACTTCGATGTCCTTATATCTGCTCTAGGTGGCGAGCATGTACCACGATCCCACCATCGGCAACCTGATCAACATTGTGGTGGTGCGCATCATCCTCATGGATGAATTGACGTCCGAGGTAAGCGACCGTGCAGTGCACGTGCCGAGGGTTGTGTTTTCCCTCCCCGATGAAGCTATGTTTTGAACGAGGTTTCTGCATATACACCTTTTACTCGTTTGTTATAACAAGGAGGAGACGTTCAACTCTACTGTGAACGCGGACGCGACCCTCGGATCCTTCTGCCGGTGGGCGTCGCAGATGAACCCGGCGGACGAGTCGCACCCGCACCACCACGACGTGGCCGTGCTCGTGACGCGGGTCGACATCTGCGCGAAGAGTCACACCCCTTGCAACACGCTGGGCGTGGCGCACGTCGGCGGCATGTGCTCGAGCAATCGGGCGTGCTCCGTGACGCAGGACAACGGCGTGGTGCTGGCGTACACCATCGCGCACGAGCTGGGCCACAACCTGGGCATGACGCACGACACGGAGACGCTGGGGTGCCCCCGCAAGGTGGACGGCGTGCTGCACGTCATGACGCCCACCTTCGAGGCGGACAACCACCGCATGGCGTGGAGCCCCTGCAGCCGCCGCAGCGTTACCGCGTTCCTCGAGTCAGTCGGCGACGACAGCCTGTGTCTGCTTCGATTCCCACGGATCATCGATCGACCACCCATCTGATGCAACGCTCTTTGCTCTTGTCGACAGTGACGGCAAGGGCGCGTGCCTGGACGACGCGCCCACCCTGGGCGGGTACCAGTACCCCGACCTCCCCGCCGGCTCCATGTACGGCGCCGAGCACCAGTGCCACCTGCAGTTCGGCACCGAGGAGTCCGAAGTCTGCTCCGAGCTGGAAGAGGTACGCCCCCCCTCCTCCTCCTCCCACCACCAATCGACCACAGCCCTCCCTTCGCCACCCTTGACGTGAAAGGGACACAACCCCCACGACAGGAGTGCGTGACCTAGTGCCCTTCCCCCGGCCCAGCGGCAACTGAAAACTCCTCAGCCAATAGCTTTCAAGAAATAAAAACATATTTTTTAAATGTGTGAATTGCACTAATTTCGAAATAGTATTTTTATTATTCATGAAAAGATTTTGAGTAAAATCTAGTCCGGGCCAAAATGATGAAAACCTGTCTTGATTTGTCGTAGGTCTGCACGCGTTTGTGGTGCCAAGTCGACGGCCAGTGCACTACGCTGCTGCAACCCGCCGCCCCGGGTACCATGTGCGGGAAGCACAAGGCAAGTTTCACATCAGCGAGTAGACCTGAAAGTATTATTTCTTTTTTGTTTTTTTGAAATTACATTCTTAATCGGGTGCCCACAGTGGTGCCAGGACCAGCAGTGCACGGAAATCAGCGAGCTGCCGGAGCCCGTGCCCGGCGGATGGTCGGCGTGGGGGGAGTGGGGCCCATGCTCGCGCACCTGCGGCGCGGGGGTCTCCACCATGGAGCGGCGCTGCGACCACCCGACGCCGCGCCACGGCGGCGCCTACTGCCTGGGCGAGCGGCGGCGCTACCGCGTCTGCAGCACGCAGCCCTGCCCGGAGGACGCGCCCAGCTTCCGCGCCGTGCAGTGCGCCGCGTACAACAACCGCACCTACAAGGGCGCCAACTACACCTGGCTGCCGTACTTCGACTCGGCCGAGCCGTGCGAGCTGTACTGCGCCGACGCGGACGACACCGTGATCGTGCCGTGGGGCGGCGCCGTGGCGGACGGCACGCCGTGCAACGTCGGCCGGAGGGACATGTGCATCGGCCGGGTGTGCAGGGTGAGACCAGCGGCGCCCCGAAGTTACTCATCTTTTTCACCCGCTTACCCGACAGCGAGGGTGCCTCCTCAAACGTGTGTCTCTGTGCGCAGAAAGTCGGCTGCGACTGGGCGGTGGACTCGGATGCGGTGGAGGACCGGTGCGGGGTCTGCCGCGGGGACGGCAGCCTGTGCGACACGGTGACGGGGACGTACAACCGCCCCGACGGCTACGGTACGCACCCGCGCCCCGCCGGACTCACACACTAGTCTTTTACCCGACCAACGCGCCACCTCTGACACTATCCCCGGTCGCACTGTCCCCCACAGGCTACATCGAGGCGTTCCAGATCCCCGCCGGCGCCCGCAACGTGGTCGTCGCGGAGGAGTCTGCCTCCAAGAACTTCATCGGCATCGGCAGCGTCCGGAAACCCGTGTTCTACCTCAACGGTCGCAGGTGAGACGCGCGCAGGGGGCGGCGGCGGGAGGAGGGCATTTGGCGGCGTCGCTGCCGGGTGAGGGGGCGGCGCGAAAATCTGTAAACATTGGTGACTCACCGCAGGAAGATCACGCTGCCGGGAGAGTACGACGTGGGCGGCACGACCGCGCTGTACGAGCGCGTCGGCGACCTGGAGACGGTGCGCATCCCGGGCCCGCTTCGCGACAGCATCCTCATCTACGTGAGTAGGGCGCGCGGCGGCGGCGGGCCGAGGTTCGCGTCGGCCAGGTCCCCGCCACCGCGCCCCGCCACCCAACACGCCGTCCTCCTCTTGCGCAGGTCATCTTCCGCGGGCGGGCGCGCAACCCGGGGGTGCGCTACCAGTACACGGTGCGACGGGCGGGGGCGGCGCCGCCCGCACCCGTGTGGCGCTGGGCCGACTGGTCGGCCTGCTCGGCGACCTGCGGCGGCGGCCGCCAGGAGATGCGCGCCGTGTGCGCGGCCGGCCTCCAGGAGGCGCTGCACGTCGTCCAGGACAGCGAGTGCGAGCTGACGCTGGGGCCGCGGCCGCCGGACAAGAACAGGACGTGCGCGACGCACGCGTGCCCGGCCACGTACGTAACTAGATGGAATTGAAACATTGAACTAAACCTGTAACTGTTTCATTGAAATATTCCAGAAACTTTCCATGGTTGTTTTGAGAGGTCAGTTTAATTTATTCTGAAAACTTACATTTCCCCCCTCCTCGCAGGTGGTGGACGGGCCCGTGGCAGGTGTGCTCGGCGACGTGCGGGGAGGGTGCGGCGCGGCGCCGCTCCGTGCTGTGCGTGGTGCGCGGCCGCCAGGAGCTGGCGCTGCCGGACGCGTTGTGCGACCAGGCCACGAGGCCCGACGAGCAGGAGCGCTGTCACGACGTGCCGCCCTGCCCCGCGGCGGCCCTGCAGCCAGGTGAGCGACGCGCCGGGAGCACTGGTACTCGTTGTCGACACGCCGGATGACGACCGTCTTTCGTGTGCTCACAGGCGACGGAGCGGCAGATCTGTTCCCCGTCGAGCTCTCCCACCCGTCCTCCCGGCAGCAGCAGGACGACGTCCTGGAGGTCGACGGTGGCCTCGACCTGGACAACCTGGCCCAGGATGAGCGCGACTTCCTCGTCAACTACACCACCTTCTTCCAGGAGCACCTGGGCAGCAACGACCTTGCCGTCGTCGGCTCCAGGCCGCCGGCGCCGACACCGCCGGCGCGGGCCGCGGCGGACAAGCCCCCAGGCAGGTCGATGCCGCCGGCTCCGCTGGCGCACGGCGCGGGGGTGTGGGAGGACGACATGGACCTGCCCCCGCGCCCCCACCCACTGGTGCGGCCACATCCGCAGCGGGGCCCCCAGGGCTCCCCCAAGCACCCCGCGGGCCTCCCCCGCGCGCGCACCGGCACCAAGGTGGCGCACAAGCGGAGGCAGCAGAGGCGGAAACACGCCAAAAATAGCGGCCTGCTTCGGGACCATCCGGAGGGCAGGGACGGCCGCGCCAGGGACACGTTCTTCCTCACGATCGAGTAGGAGGGGGCGTGGTGTGCCTCCAGCGGACGCCACTTGAGCACATCCATCTACACAAACCTCTGTACATTCCTAGAGTAAACATAAGCTTATGCACCGGTTACTGTTGTAAAAAATTATGTTCTTCAAACTATCACGACACCCACAGTCTTTCATTATATTTATTACACTGTGTTTCCGAATTTGCCATCGATTGGTATATTTTGGTTGTTCCAGTATATTTATTCTAGTGATATGCTAGATTTCCAACGATTATTCTTCAACGATGCCATATTAAAAAGTGTTGTTGTGTATCAAGATAAAAATAATAAAATGTCTTCATACATCGCTTTTGTCCTAAAGAGTTTGGTTTCACATTTCAACCCCTCTAACATATACTACGCCGTCGAACCGCTCGCGGTCAACTGTCTCCTCCAAAATTGAACGGGATTTTAGTCGATCTACTTTCTGTCGAGCAATTCGAGACATTCTGGATCTATGCCGTCGCCGTCATGCCGGGGCTACGACACTATAGTGTTGCGGGTTTGCATACCCTAGGGGCCATGGCGCCGTATGGGTGGAGCGAGTAGGCAGACCCGCCTAGCCAAGCTCTGACACACGGTATAGTCTGACCAGCTTTAGCTCGACCGTGACTGACAAATCACACGCACAGTGGTCCGGCGCCCTAGCTCATCCGAAGTTCGAGCCGGACCGGAAGTCCTGTCCTTCTGGAACGTGCCGTCTTTTGTCGTTTTGTGGAGCGCTGCGCACTCTGGCGGCGCTGGCGCGAAGCTCGATGGAGCTGAGCCGCACTGCGGCCGACCGCCGAGCCGAGGCCGCCGAAGCCGAACGAACGAACCGAAGCGAAAGAGTGAATCCGTCGTGAGTCAGTCGTGTCTTGTTGTTGCTCGAGTGAGGAGGATGCCTTCTGCAGCCAAACTAGTAAAACAGGCCTCCACGGAGGCGCCGGACCCGTTGCGGCAAGGCGTCACCATCATAGAACACAAAATCCGCAACTTGGAGAAGAGAAAGGTACGTACTCGTGACGGTTTTGGCCGCCGGCGGGCCGGGCGCGCGGTGCGAAACTGTCATCCTCGGCGGGTGCGCGTCGCCATGTTGGTTATGAGAGCCATGTGCTCGCGGGGAGCCTGGCGACGCGCCGCGGCGTTAAACGAAAATGCATTTGTTTCCCCTTCTGATTTCCTCTCCCGCTGGCCGCGGCGTTGAAGTGCGGCCGGCCCCGCACCTCCCCGCCGGCGTGGGCCGGGTGCACCGCGGGCATCAACAAAGGTGTCATGTCGGCCGCGCTCGTCACCGCGCTGGGTTTTAGGCGTCGCACGCCCGCACCGCGGACGCGCCCTGCGTCGCAATTTGTCGCGGCGGGTGGCCGCGGAGCGGCGGCGTCGCCCCGAGGGCGGCCCCGCAGGACGGCCGCGGCCCCTCCCGTCGTCCTGGGCCGTGGGCGACTCGTCCTCCGGGTTGCGCCACCGGCTAGGCCCGTGACTAGTGCTGCCGGGCCGTGTGTGTGCCGCGACCGGTACCGCCTCGGCCTCCAGGAGGAACCTTGAACGGCCGTCGCGCCCGTCGCGCAGGCCTGCGAGACGGTTGCAGGGTGTTGGCCCGGGGAGCAACCGGGCGTCAACTAACGCGGGGGCGGGGTGACGGTGCTGGAAGGGTACTTTGCGTCCTAACCCACCCGAGAGGCTGTGCTCCCACTTTGCATGGACAGTTGAACCCTGTTTGGCTTTTCTGGAGTTTTAGTATGCTTACGGTTTTTGTTTCATTCCAGGTCAAGCTAGAGTCGTACCGTGCCCTTCAGAATGAAGGCAAGGATCTTCAGCCAGAGCAGTTGGCTGCTGTAGCCAAATACGATGAAGTCATCCAGACCCTCGAGTTTGCCCGGGACCTTTGCAAGCAGTTCAACTCAATCTCAGCGGACAATGCCAAGGCAGCCAAAAGGCAGGCGCGGAAGGAAGCACTGGAGAGGCAAGCCAACGACCTGGCTAGAATCAAGGATGTGCTTCTCTTCCAAAATGTTCTTAATCAAATCGGAACAGACGCTGTACGAGAAGACTTCTTAAATGGCACCAACGGAGCTACTAAGTTAACTGAAACTGATCTTCAATTGTTTGATACCTTCTATGAGACTGTTACTCCTAAGAGTTATGATGATGCAAAGATCTCAGTTGATGTAAGTTTTTACAATTATTTTTTAGTTGTTTTTTTA